GTAAAGGTAATCTAAGAAGTCAAGATTTTAAGATATAAAAATAACTATGAAAAACAAATGAATGAATAATCATTTATGTAGTTTAATGATTAGGCAAAATGATACCGTAGATTTTTTTTTAACCTAGAAAACCTACTAGAATTTTTTTTTTTTTTTGAGACAGAGTCTCACTCTACTGCCCTGAGTAGAGTGCCGTGGCATCAGCTTAGCTCACAGCAACCTCAAACTCCTGGGCTCAAGCGATCCTTCTGCCTCAGCCTCCCGAGTAGCTGGGACTACAGGTATGTGCCACCATGCCCGACTAATTTTTTCTATATATATTTAGTTGTCTATCTAATTTCCTTCTATTTTTAGTAGAGACGGGGTCTTGCTCTTGCTCAGGCTGGTCTCAAACTCCTGAGCTCAAAGGATCCGCCCACCTCGGCCTCCCAGAGTGCTAGGATTACAGGCGTGAGCTACCGCGCCCGGCCCCTACTAGAATTTTTAAATACAAAGATGTTATGTTTTTGCTATAAAATACAAATAATAAATAAGGACATAAAAAAAGAATATCCTTTACTAGCAATTAAATAATAGCAACCATTAGATATATTTTTATATCTAAAATAAAAGTGCAAACAGTTCATAATATCCAGTGTTGGTAAGGTTATAATAAGACTAGTACACTTATTTTCTGCTAGTTGTTTGGAAATTGGTACTATCTCCTTAGAAATACAACATGTAACAAGAGCCATAAAATATTCTACTCCTGGGTCATTCTCCTATAGAAATAATTCAACAGAAGCAAAAAGAGGTACATGCCAAAACCCAAAATAAAAACAGATATTTCCTCTCTCCTTCCTTTGCCCTCACCAAGAAAAGAAAGCTGGAAACAACCTAAATTTCTAACTTATTTGAGCAGTGTAATATTTTTGGAATGGATCAGTATGAAGGAATATTATACAGCCATCAAATGTGAAGACTATGTATAAACATGGAGAATGTTTAAGATCTGATGGTTAACTAACATATACACTATTATTGTAGATATGAGAAATAAATACTGCATATTTGGAAATACACAAAAATGAAAACAACTATGTTTGGGGAAAGTGATTATGCACTTATTTGGTTAAATATTTCTTTAATCCTCTTATGTTATTTTTTAAATTTTCTAAAAATTATGTGGTTATAAGGCAACGGCTCTTTGGGATCACCTAATAAACACCTAATAGATTCTATACAAGACCCCAAGCTCAGCCCTCCTACAATGGCTCCTGTGACCAGTTACAAGGCATTCAGGATGGATGGAAGTCTTCTCAGTGGACATGGATGTAGAGAGTTCTAAGGTATGAATTGGTTGATGGTTCTCTTTTGTAATAGTGTATTTTGTTTGCTGACTTAGCTCTACAAGGAGACAAAACAACAACTGTGGTTTATTCTACCTTTTCCAGGCTTAGGTCCCTCGAATTAGTGTTTTTTCCCCCTCAGGTGATCCCTGAATTAATATCAAATGTCTAACAAAGTAAACCAAAGTACAAGTAAAGGGAAAACTGCTCTTGCAAAGGCTAAGATAGCAATATTTAATAGTAACATTCAAGAGCCAGTCATTAAGTGATAAAATAGTGATGCCAAGACCTCCAAATCCCAGACTCTCCAGGGTAACAGAGGGACAAACAAGGGCTGCACAGAGAAACCCTAAACTAACTTAGCTCTTTACACAGAGGAACTGCTCTATAAAGATCTTCTCTTGCATCACCAGTAGCATCACCAGTAGTGTCACCGGCATCACCAGTAGCATCACTGTCACTAACCCAATGTCCCAGGAATTGAGGAAGGGAAGATTTACCCTTTAAAAACAAGAAAAGGCTGGGTGTGGTGACTCACACCTGTAACCCCAGCACTTTGGGAGGCCAAGGCGGAGGGATCACTTGAAGCCAGGAGTTAGAGACCACCCTGAGGCAATAGTGAGACCCGGTCTCTACAAAAAGAGTAAAAATATTAGCCGGGCATGGTGGCCTGTGCCTGTAGTCCTAGCCAGGCATGGTGGTGTGTGCCTTAGTCCCAGATCCTAAAGCAGTAGGATCGTTTGAGCCCAGGAGTTCTAGGCTGCAGTGAGCTATAATTGCACCACTGTACTCTAGCGTGGGTGACAGGGTGAGACCCTGTCTTTAAAAAAAAAAAAAAGCCACAATAACGACTGGTACCACAGTAAATGTCTACCTGTATCTCCCTACACTGTCTTAGGTGAATGTGCCCAGGAAGGCTGCTTCCCTACAAGTGTGCCTTCCTTTGTTTGAGCCTTTATTCCGACTAAATGAAAATAAATACCCCCAACTGGGGAATGGGGAGTTCGGAGTGTGTGCAAGTGTGTGGATTCATTAAACCTTAACAAGCATTGAATACTTAAGTGGATGAGCTTACTGGAACCTGTTTGGGAAAGTAGGTTTTGCTAGCTGGTAGGATGAAGAGAATAGGCTTGGTACCAAGCCACCCAGAAAAAATGAAAGAGAGTTGCACTCATTTCATTGGCCAACGCACAGCATTCTGCTTTTCCTAAAATCACCTACACGTCTTTACTGATTTTTTAAAATATGACTATAGCTTTTCAGCATCTATTGACTCCATGACTTTGTTTTAAATCTCCACCGCAACTAGCCAAATAACTCTGGTTCTAAATTAGAGAGATGGAAAAAGAGATGCTCTTTATATTAGACATTGGAGTCTACATCTAAAACCAATATCTGCATAAGAGGTAAGAGAATCTCAAAACAGTTCAAACTCCCATAAACAGCACTGTTTTTAATCTGTTGCCTCCAACACACCAATGAGAAAAATCATGGTATCGTGTCATAAACTGCTATGCAAATGATGCTATTTGTAAGTATTAACATAATTTAGTGCTTACAGTCATATTCTCATTTCTAATAATTCTCCCAGAATGGAGTCTTTCTCTGGACTCTTAGCCTGCAGGATAGTCTTTCATCAAGAAGCTGAAATTTTTAATAACCTGCCAGCATATGTTTTGTATGTAGCAGGCTAGGCTTGATGATACAACATCTTCATTATCAAAAGAAACAGGTCTACAAACTGTAATAGGACATTAAAACATGCCTGTGCTTATAAAGTAATGCTTTGATGTCTAAGTGTGCACCATTACCATGGTCTTCTGCAACAAAGGAAAATTCTAATCTTAAATTTGCAATAGCTACACTCAATGGAGATTGCAGTTCACCTCCACTTCGAATATGATTTCGCTTTCAAGGCAAAAGAATGTCAAGTCTCCTACGACAACAACAACAACAACAAACAAAAAAAACCTTTTCAGAACCACTTAATTTTTATTTTTGACTTCTCATCATACCATGGCTAAGCACAGCCCTCAGATTGTAAAAAGATTTCTGAATAATTATTTTTTCCTCGTTAAATTTTAAAAAATAATTTAGACAGACTATTAATTATTCAAGGATTTCACATTTAATAACATTAACGACAGTGCCAAATATATTTGGTGCCAATTTAAAATGGTATAGTTTAAAATAACTGAAATTAAATAATGTGAGACTTCTAAATATAATTCAGCCAGATGTCAGTATTTAAAACTTTTTTTAACTTAAGATATTTCAAATTTATCATTGTCTAGTATCAGAGGAATTCTTTAAAAATTATTGGTTTGAAATACTGAGGTCAGCGAACACTCTGCACACTAACATTTGTTTTTTAAATAAAAAAGTCCTACTTTTTAATGGTTTAATCTCAACAGTTTTGCTTTAAAAAGAAAACTCTATACAATGTGAAATAAAATCCAGTTCAAAAACAACATAAGGGAAATCTCTATGGGTCTCAAAATTAAATACATTTTCTTTGTTTTATTTTTTTCTAGAAGAGTAATTCATTTTGGTCTCCTTTAAATAATATGTAAAAAGCTGGCCATGACAGGGACTGCGTTTAGTCCATCTCCTGATGGAGGAGGGGAAAAAGCCCAGAATAGATCATGGGGAGAACAGTCGCATTTGTCAAAGGGAACTCTCTCTCCTCACTGTTTTCTAGATTTATTCATCATCTCACTTTCCCAAGAATAATGAGGTTTCCTCTAGTGTGCCCCTCCCTTCCTACCACTTGTGTCTTGATTCATACACTTCTATAGTGGGATGCTCAAAGCAGATGCAAATCACTTTGCACAGCCCACCGCTATGTGTGCCGGTAGGGAAGGGGCCAGTTAAGTGAATTTGCGTCTGAATTTTCCTAATCAGTTATGCTCTAACCAGTAGGAGAGCCCAAACGGAGATTTGGGATTAAGAGAAACCAGGCAAATCTAGGTCTCTGGATGCAAAGCGGGACAGCTTTTAGAATGGCAGGTTTAACTTATATATTAAACCATATAAAATTAATTATTAAGCAAATTTGGAATAGACTGACAGGTTGTACAATTCATCTCTCCACCAATGCACACGGAAAAATCTATACATGTCTACTCAAATGCTAAGACTTCTTACCCACAGCTCAGCTTTTGCTGGGACATTGTCTGGCTGGGATGCACTATTTTCTCAGCCTCTCCCAGGGACCAGCAGTTACATAAATTTCCTTGAATTGTCTTCAAAACACATGACTGCTGACAGAATGCTATTATACATTAGCTTCCAGGTGACAACCATTCACTAATAGAATTTCTATCTCATAATAAAATACAGATAGTTTGATAACACCAGATGTTAGGACCCACTTAGGGCAAGTGATGAGATTTGTAACGTTACCTGGATATGATGAAAAAATTACTTCCTAATTATCATAATCAATTCGAGGAAGTGAATAAAGACTTTTAAAGCCCAAAGAAGAAACATTTAAAATGACCTAGTCAATTCCATTCATTTGTGTATGAGGACTAAGACCCAAAAAGGCACTGCTGGCAGGTGACAGAGCTGAGTCTAGAGGAAAGTACTGTCATCTCTCAGCTGAGCCTTTTGCTCCATCTCCTAACCGTTCACAGACACTGGGGGCTGAAGTCACCGTTGAATACTCACTTGTGCCCATTTCTTCCTCCAGTCTTTGGGGCCGTATCTTTTACTCTCCTTTAGCACCCACTCGTAGCACTTTAGGTAGCAAGGAATGTCACAAAATGCAGTCCCATTTCCTCGGAACTCATAGTCCATTTTAAAGAGCCAGCGATGGATTTGCAGGTGATCGGCTATCAGCTGACTCAGCTGTTCTAGCATCTGTGGGGCCGAAGAGACAGTGATGTTAAATATAGCTAATTTCTTGGGATTCCTTTTTATTGTCTTAACTTAGTTGAGATTCTTATATGTCTTTACTTTAAATGGTCTGTTCATTCAGTTATCTTCTAGTTATTCAGACAGATTAAAGGTTTTAAGTGATGTATATATAATGTGAAGAAACCATTAACAAATGGGACCAGAGACATGTTTAAAAACATAGTCTTATTTATGAGAAATTCCAAAATTATCATTTTACTGGCTTTTGAAAACAAAAAAAAAGAATCCCTGAACATCTCTAATTGAATCTTGATACTGTTTTCTTTCTTTTTCAGAGAATTATGCATTTACTTATTGACTTTTCCACTGATTTTTTAATAGTTTCAAGACACTTTTCATAGTCTTGAAAACTTTAACTGTTTGGAACTTTGTTGAGCTTTTAAATGTTATATAAAGCATTCAATTTTTTTGTCATTAACATACATGAAATACATTTGTTTGGCTGGTCAATTGGCCAAGTTTATTATATATATGATATGAATAAGTGTATTACAGAACAAGACAGATAAAGGAGATAAAATATTCATGGAAGCAACCTTTCTGGAATACACACTTATCCTACATTTTATTCGAAACAACATTTCCTCAAGAATTGGGCTCAAACACATAGAAGTTGAAGGAACAGAATAGTAGTCCAAGCTCTAATATCAAAATAATTATGACAAAGATGATGATAACAACATCTAACATTACTGAACTCTCAGGAGGAGCCATGCCTTTGGCTCATGTAAGCTCTTTACATGAATTTTCTCATTTAATACAATAAGCTTATGAGGTAGGCACCATTATTAGTTCTATTTTATATATAAATAAGCTGAGGCTTGGCTAATTTAAATAACTTGTCCATGATCACACAGCACTGAGTGGTAGAGCAGGAATTTCACCCACTGCTTTGACTCTAAAACCCACGCTGATTGCCTCCCCGCTGTGCTGCGGGTCCCAACCTGCAGAGAGGTGGAGCAGAGGGAGCTGGAGAAAGAAGTTGCAAGAGGAGCAAGAGAAGCAACTTTCCTTACAGTCAATAAGCCATTTGGTGTGAGTTTGAATCAGATAAAAGTCTACAGCAAGATGACTTAATTATAAATAATACTGTCTTGGTAGAGCCTTGGAGAAAAATAACTCATTAGATCACAGAATGATTTTTTTGTCTTGTCTTCTCACCAAACTTTCCAGTCTATACTTCGTAGAAAGCAACAAAATAACGCCAAGCGTTCTGTCTCCTGGGCCTTCCCATGCTGTCGTTGGCTGCGTCTCCCGAATTTAAGAAAGTCTCTGCAACATTCCTATTCTCTTCTCTTCTGACGAGTTCTCTTTGCCCACCAAATGGATTTAAAAAAATTTTTTTTAACTCAAGATTTATAGTTCTGTTCAAGATTTACAGTTCTGCAGCTGTAACATTAATATTATTTTGATTAAAGGCACAATCTGCTCTCTCGAGTTGTGCCTATCCAGCAAGTCTTCCTGGGGGTGCTATACTATAGAGCAGTGTGGAAGAAACATCAAAATGGCCATACTTGGGGTCTTCGGAAACCCCATACAATGATGGGGTTTTTACTTAGGGGCAAAATGAAATTATCTTAGCAACCTAATTATCAAGTAGTTTCTGTGGATAATTTGGGTGTTTAAATGACAAGTACTCTGGCCTTCACACCATATTGTGATGAACACAGCCTAGGAAGGTTTTTCAATGTACCTTCCAAAGTTGCATCCCTCTTTCTCTAATGTATTGAGAAGATAGAGTCTATATTTAATCATATTTTGCCATATTATGATCACATTTTGCAGAAGTAGAAATGGTCTTTGGCCTGTTGAGATCAGATAAAATTCTTTTGCTAGTGTAAGGAAAGGTGTTCTGGTATAGCCTTTTTGATTGTATATTTGGAGGTTTCGACGACTAACAGAATTATTATCTGTTTCTTCCAAATCCTATTATTTGTTGCTTCTGAGAATCCTATAAATGGGCGTCTGTTGATGGATCCCCTATGGTAATGAAAAGGATCAATAGTATTGTAAAGACTGTACCACTGGAAAGAATTATGTGCTATCTTTAAGTGAAAATTGAACAGTGCTTTAAAATAGCATTGCCATTTTTGATTATTTAACCAAAACTGTCAATATTTCATATGGAGCATATGCCAGAAAGAAAACTCACAGAGTTACTTTATGTATCAAAACAGGAAATGCTCACTGTACTCATGCTAGATTTTAAAAAAACTAGTTAATCATAAACCAAATGACTTTATGTTATTTCCAAACATTTATCATTTTCTGTTTGAGTCTATCTGTTCAAAGGATGTAATAAATTTTTTAGTTGTGATTCATTTTACATTGGTAAAGGGCAGAGGTATAAAAATGACTATTGCTAACATTCAACTGATGGTCAGGAATCCTTATTAACCTAAGTTAAAATGATCACAGCTTTCTTTCACCAGGTTCAAGTTTATGATGCACATCGGTAAAAAGTCAGTGTTATCGATTCATCACCATCTGCAGATTCAAAAGGCTGACACGCTCAGATAGATTAAGTAGGGTAGTCACTATCTGGAGAAATCTCAATGGAGTATTTCAATTCTTGATGACCTCAGACATATGTTTTCCAAACAAGTGGAGTAGAACTCAGTTAAAAATTGGTTTATCGTTATACAATTTGCACATACCATAGGTCAAATAATATAGCTCAAATTTGACGTGTCTTTGTGGAAGTTTTTAGTCCTACTTCTGAATACCATCAGTAGAGGGAGATTTTAGTGTTTTAAATGTGCCTACACCTTTAACCACAATAAACATATAAAGTTCTAAAATATTTCATAGCAAAGATTGCCTGACTTCTCCTTAGTGAAGATGAAGGCAAAATTCAATATAAATATTGCACATATACAGATTGTTTAATGTAATGTGCACATGTGAAACTGTATCATTTAAAAATGTATTTCACCTGTAGTAAGTCTAACAGCCAAATATTCTACTGGGAAGCAGAGTCAAGCAATCTCCCGTGTTATCTTCAAATTCCAGTGGAAGTTAATGACAATGGAAATGACATACCAGCTCAAGAGCAGTCTCTCTGGAATTCCACTTCTAAGATGGCCTGTGCCTTTCCCAGACTGTGATATCTTTAAGAGGAACTTCCTTCATGAGCTCCCGTATTGCCCAAGAACACTCTTGTAAGACTGAAACACTTTAGGGTGATTTAACAGGCTAACAGTATCTTCAAACTAGTCTTTGCGAAGTATAATTTGTCGAAGGCCTGATTTCTGAGCTCAGTAGCTATGGGGTGCAGAGCATCATGATTGGGCGACTGAGAGTAGGAGGGGTTCCCTAAATATTGCCCCTCACAGACTGCCTCATTGTACATGGTTCTTTGGTTTCCCAAGAAGTGGGTAGAGGGGATAATTTCTGATTGGCTCAGAGCAAAGGTCAAGAGATTTACTAAAATAGAGGTTAAGAAATATTAACAGCCATTTGTCTTTTAATTTCCTTTATTATGAAAACAGATGGCAGTTAAATGGGAGAACACCTGCCAGAGCTAACTCAGAAAACATTTCTAATGACAAATATATTTCTCCAAATATTTTGGGCCCTAACTATCTGTTAGAAGAATGCATAGCCACAGATCTGGTCCAAGGTATAACCAAAAACAGTTTTATTCCTGGAGCCATTTCACTTCCCCTTTCTGGGCTCTTTTCCCTCTTCCCTTTAGGCCCCTTTCTGAGGAGCCAAAGTATTTTTTACAGAGCCAAGGATGTCTGCAGCACTCTGCAATCTGACCTGGTGGAGAGGCTCACTCCCCGGAGCTTTCCAAACCTGCTTCTTTTAGCCAAAATGGACTCTTATATTTCTTAGGCTAGCTGATACGATGATGAACTAATCCACGTTAAGGCATTAAATATTGATAGCAGATTAGTCCAAATGATACATACATTTCAACAGAGTCTTCAATGCTTAATCCAAAATGAGTAAATATTTTGGAAATTCCAGCAATTTCTGCAAGACCAACGGGAACATACTTTAAAACTGCAGTCCCGGCCAGGCGCGGTGGCTCACGCCTGTAATCCTAGCACTCTGGGAGGCCGAGGCGGGCGGATTGTTTGAGCTCGGGAGTTCGAGACCAGCCTGAGCAAGAGCGAGACCCTGTCTCTACTAAAAAAATAGAAAGAAATTGGCCAAACAACTAAAAATAGAAAAAAAAAAAAAGTTAGCCGGGCATGATGGTGCATGCTTGTAGTCCCAGCTACCTGGGAGGCTGAGGCAGGAGGATTGCTTGAGCCCAGGAGTTTGAGGTTGCTGTGAGCTAGGATGACGCCACGGCACTCTAGCCCAGGCAACACAGTGAGACCCCGTCTCAAAAAAAAAAAAAAACCTGCAGTCCCCAACCCCCCGCTGCAGTCCCCCCTGCAGACCAGTATCGTCCATGGCCTGTTAGGAACCCAGGGGCACAGCAAGGCACAGCAAGAGGTAAGCAGCTGGGCAGGCGAGGGAGTGAAGCTTTATCTGTATTTACAGCCGCTCCCCATTGCTCACCATACCCTCAACCCTCCACAGCCAGTCCGTGGAAAAATTGTCTTCCCTGAAACCAGTTCCTGGTGCCAAAAAGGTTGGCGACTGCTGCTTTAAAACACAAAGGCCTGAAGTAGATCCCCTCAAATCAACTCAAGTATTCCACATATTTTCACTGGGTAGGGCTGGCTTCAGAAGACCTAAAGTTGCGCAAGGTCAAAAGGATGTAAAATATTTGAAGAGACCTTCACTGTCCACCCCACATACCTGTTGCTGATTATAGACGTTCCCTATTCCTGGAGGGACTGGCACATTGGCACCGTCAAAGACTCGTTTACTCCCAGACTTGGTAGTATAAAGATGAGCTAGTTCAGGCTCTGAGCCCAGGATGGGTATGTCTAACATATCTGCCACAGCTAAGTCATCTCTATGGAGGAGGCCGCCGACAATGTAGGCCTCCCTTCCTTGGATGAGATTTTTTATTCTTTTCAGCGTCTTGGGACTGTACATCAGGTGAGTGGCCAGGCACATGTGATGCTTCTGGGGGAAGACGATATTATTCTTGTTAAAAGATGTCCTTTTTCTAGTCCGTACACCTAATTTATAATGTTGCACATAATAAATACATTATTAATAGCAGGCTGGGTTATGACCTATCCTGTTGTTTAGCAGTTTAAATTGATAAAAGCTGTTGGGGTGAGGTTCCATAATCGCTCACATCTTTAGTGTGTGGGAAATAGGCTCACTGGGAATAGAACTAATTACTACACATCTGTATTTATTTGATCCACGTGGAATTATCCTTCTGTCAGAAGGAAAAGAGGCTGGCGGCCTTTGGATAATAGTGATTCATCTCTGCAACACTTCTGGCATGGTTTAACACTAAAGTGTCTGGAAAATCAATACACAAAATGAAGAAAAACGCCCCACAGTATTCTTCGCTATACAGAGTCCTACTCCGGCAACTCCTTAAGTGCTTCAGTAGGAAAAAGGCCCTGGACACCTTCTCTCCGAAATTCTACCGCAGCCTGTTTCAGAGCATACGCTCTTCTACGGTGATTATCATGGTTCTAGCCGACAACTCTGAGAAGGATTCACAAATAGAAAATATTTGAAAATTCTGGTAAGACTCACATTCATTTTCCAATGACAACTTTTAAAATTTGTTTTTTGACTAGTTAGACCCAGCTCAGCAATATATGTGACTGTCTCATTCAATTAAATAGATAATTCTGGCATGTCTACTAGGGGCAGAGGACAGAGCCAGACGGGCAGCACACACCAAAACTAACAAACAACCATGTTTCTGCCTTTGAGGAGTGGGGACACAAATAAGAACAGTTAGGACATAACTGACACAAGGCGGATAAGGGCCACAAGGAGATACAGAGTGCCTCAGAGGCACGGAGAGAGAGGCAGAGGCCATACACTGATGGAGAGAGCTGAAAAGGCAAATTATGCATTCTCTTTGCACTCCAGTTTCCTAATCTGTGAAATGGGTATAATAATAGTATTCATCTCACAGGGATGTTGTGAGGATTCAGTGAGATAATGCATGTAAAGCACTTATAATAGTGCCTTGCACATAAAAAGCACTCGCTGAATGTTAGCTAGTATTGTTATTCTGAAAGAGGTTGGGGTTGAGGTGAGCTCTGAAGGATGGGTAGGATTTTATCGGGTGAAGATGGGCATGAGAAAGATGGTACCCAGGGATAGAATACAAGAACCCAAGACTGTTTCGCTTCCTCTAGAGAAGAGGGCAGCATGGTATACAGGAAAGTGCTGGAGCTTTGGAGTCAAATAGATCTGGTTTTGAATCCAGCTCTATCATTTATAAGCTACGTGAATTTGGGCAAGTGACTTAGACCCCCTGAGCCTAAGTTTCTCCATCTGTTAAATGAGAATCAAAATATCTATTTGCTGGGTTGCTCTAAGGCTTTTAATACAGGATTTTGAATGTAAAATACCTAGCATGATGCATGGCATTGAGTTGATACTCAATAAACAGTAGTGATTATTATTACAGAGAAAACTCTCTTTTTAAAATAAAGTCCTTAAAATGTCATCATGCAAGTAATATAACGTAAAAGTACCTGAGTCTTAAGGGAGTTCAAGGGATTTTATAAACTAGCGCTTACCCATCTCCCCCCCATTTTAGTGAAAAATTACTCAGTTCAGCAGAAAAATGTGGAGAAATGCTGAGTAACTGTTTCAAGGAATGTCAGGCGCATCAGTTTGCAAACGGTTGGAGACCATAGTAGCTTCTAAGAATGGAAGAAGGAGAACTGGACCGGGGCAGCCCCTGGATTTCAGTCCTGCCTGAATTTGTACCTTGCTAGGTGACTTAGAAAACTTGACCTTTCTGAGTCTCAGTTCCCCATATTCAAATGGGGGTTGGATTAGAAAAGTCTCCAAGGTCCTTATATCTCTGAAATAACTTTCCCTTTAAAACCAGAGCTCTTTTGGACTTATTGCTTAACGGGTACAGAGTTTCTTCTTGGGATGATGAAAAGTTCTGGAAATGGATAGTAGTGATAGTTGTACAATAGTGTGTATAACACTTAATGTCACTGAATTGTACACTTAAAAATGGTTAAAATGGTAAATTTTATATTATATATATTCTACCACGACAATAAAAGGCAAAAAACAGAGCTTCTCTGAGAAGATTTATATGCTTTACCCTATTGGGCCCTTCCTCCAGATTAGTTGTTCTATTCTAAGCTCCTTAGATCTATGCAATATGCCTTTTGTACCATAAGTTTAAATCCATTTTTAAAACGTCCATCTGAGAATGCAGTTCTAGGAAACACAATGTTCCATTTGACAACGGCTAGTGACAGCACCT